TTTTAACCCCTTTGCTGCTGTTCAGGTCCATCTGTCAGGAGAGAGGAGGTCTGAGGAGAAGGTGTGGACGGTAAGATTCAGTTTATCCCACACACACACACACACACACACACGCACACACACACAGACACACACAGGGTTAATATGTTTCTGCTCCTTCATCAGTTCCACAGTATGACTCCTCTCCGGCTGGAGGAGCTGAAGCCGGGTGATGCTGGGTGGAGTCGCTGGTCTCACAGTCGCCTCCTGCAGGAGCTCCCGGTTGGTGACCCTCCTCAGATGGATCATCCAGAAACCAGAAACAGCCAGAGCTACGCCAGCGCAAGGTACACACACAAACACACACAAATTTATTTTCAGTTTTCTGCTTGAATCCACTGGACTTCAAAGTAATTCTGCTTAACAGAGACAAACATGTTTCTTCCAACTACAGACCAGGATCCTTGCCTCCACAGTTTTCAAGAATATTAGAGAAATTATTTGAAACCAGTTTAGAAACATTTATAGACAGGTTTATACTAGGGTTAGTTTAAGCAGCAGTCAGTATGGATTTAGGATCAATCACTACACATCAGTGGCACTTAATGTAATTAACCAAACAAATATCCAGTGCAATAGAGAATAAGAAGTTTTAAGTAAGCACCTTTGTTGACTTTAAAAAAGCATTTGACACCATTGATCATTCCAGTGTTGTAGTACTCGATACAAAAAAATCGAAATCGAAAGCATTTTTACTCAGTCTTTTCTCGGTCTCAGACTTGGCAGACTATGGATTTAAAATAAGAACAGTCAAGACCACCACTGACAGGATACTAAACGCACCTTTCTAAAAGAACAAATATTTATCCCCAGTTACAGCCGCAACCTTCCGGTGTTACGGTCTATGAGAGACACGCCCCCTAAACACAAGGTGATGATTTTACAGTGATATTTAGTTAATATGGTATCAGAGGGGTGGCACATCAGTGGGTAGAAAGGTAATTAGAAAACAGAAGTATAATATAAAACCTGAATTATACAATATTAATTGTGGGGTACCTCAGGGCTCGATCCTTGGACCACAACTGTTTATTTTGGGTCACTTAAATAATTTTTCACATCCACTAATACAGGCTGCTCGTGTGTTAATGATGATTGTGTCTTTGTTTACTCAGACGGGGAAGTCGGTCACCAGCTCGTGTCCCGACGGTTGGACTCACTACAGGAGACGCTGCTACGTGGTCAGCACGTCTGTGGCGAGCTGGGGCAGTGCAGAGAGGACCTGCTCACTGCTGTAAACACAAACACACTTTTATTTTCACTTTGACCTTTACATGTTTCCTTTAAAGTAATGCATTAATTTCAGACCTTAATCATTGTGATTAACTAGTTGATGCTGACAGCCTGACTTTAAATCATAGACTCTATTTAAAAAGTGAATTTAAAAGACTAAAAGGCAGAGGCCTGCATCTCTTATGTTTTTCTGCCTGCACATGCATCCATTTCACTTCCCTCTGTTGTTTCTATAAGTGTGAGGACTCCTCTCGATGTGTGTTTTGATTGTTGTTCTAATGTTTGTGTTCAGATTTAACAGCAGCCTGACCAGCGTGCGCTCCAGAAGAGACATGACCTGGCTGTGGAAGTTTGCAGGGAGGAAGCCATTTTGGATCGGTGAGTGATCAACAAAGTGCACAGTCAAAGCAGCAATATGTAACTTTTCCATCTTAAAAAAGTTGTTTCAAAGTCGATTTAATATTACGACAACGTTCAACGGGGAGAATGGCGACTCTCTCATGTCCACAGAGCGCCCCACTCGCCTGTTTTCAGCACTATGTAACTTTGTCAGCGGGTCGAGGTCATCTGTTTAGCAGCTTTACCGGCTGCAGGAAGTCGTCTGACCCGAGTTCTGTCTCAGGTTTGAAACGAATAAATCAAAAAATCCATCTGACACAAAAAAAGTCGTCTCTACAGCGAGCTATAGACGAGACGCAGAGTCAGATTTTTACTGAATCTTGTCAGTCTACATGGCTCTTTTGCTTCTCACAACACAGAACCTGATCGTCAACAAATGCACGTTGTCTACGAGAGGAGGAGTTAACAGCACTGTGTTTTACAACAGTGCAGCTATACTTAGAGAACTTTTGTCGTCGCCAAAGTGCAGCAAACTGATTCCTATATATTGTTGCTTTAAACACCTGAAGAGATCTGAAATCAATTCTAGTCTAATTGCTTCTACTTCAAGAACGTATTCACATTGTTGAAATTGGTTACCATTTTGTTTTTGTTGATATTTACAACCCTAGTGTTAGCCTTTGTCAGCCGTTACGTCCAGAAGATGTGTGTGACTCCTCTTCACGTTCCCCAGGTCTGTCTGGAGGTCCCGGTCGCTGGATGTGGGCTGACGGTCGCTCTGTGTCCTTCTCCAGACTGAGGGGGGCGCCGCCGGGCAGCAGTGAGTCCGACGTAGGCTCTGACTGCGTGCTGGTCGAAACGCCCCGAAGCTGGATCTCCACGAGCTGCTCCCCTGAAACCCAGCACACGTTTATCTGCTCCTCTTCGGCTCACACTCACTGAGACGCGCTCAGCTGATTCACTGCTACCCGTCCGTACAACCTCTGTGAACATGTTACATATTTAATGACACGCTACGATGCTGCTCTGTACATTAGTTTATATTTTTGTCATAATAAAGATTGATGCACAACCCAAAATGAGACTCTTTATTTAAGAACTAAAGACTATATTCTAGTCACAGAATGCTTCTACTTCCACTTTAAAACGGAGACCTTTCTGATTTTACTTACGTAGCCTACTTTTACTTCATAATAAACATTTTGCAGGAGATTTATTTGTAAGTGTGGTTTTCTTTTACTTCAGTTGTCTTGCAAATTCATCTTTTCTAAATCTGACTTTATTCTAAACTTCAGATATTTTTATCTTGTAAAATAATAACTGCATTAAATTACATATTTAACTTAAATTACTTCTCAGTTGCTGTGGATGAAGTCTGTAATGACAATTGAAATCATTAAAACTGAAACTCAACAGAGAGCATTTCTTGTGACAAAACAGCTTTTAGAAAAATATGAAAAATTATGTTTTGTTACAAGGAAAAGTCTTTAAAAATACAAGATCTTTCAAATGGACTGTAGCCTACAGAAATTTAATCCATGGCAATAGTCTGCAGAAGCATCTTTGTTGATGTTTAAGTTCTTCCTGGATTAATTTACTTTATAGTCCATAAGCAGTCTGGAAGTGTGGCCTAATAATCATCAGATGGCAGCATAACACAAACAACACTGCTCTGTTTCCAGAACTCAAGTCAATTTATTTTAGTAAATCAAACAGCAAGCAACACAGTCAAACAAAAGTTAAAATGGATTATAGCCTAGAGTGCAGAAGATTTTGTCCTCGGACATCGGCAGAGAGAAGCAACCATTTAAAACCAGGTGAGTAAAATCATATTTATCTTTGTTATAATAACAAAATCCTGGATTATTGTGAATTTGAGATTGCAGGGGCCCGTTGTTGTTGTTTTTTTAAAACAATGAAAAGTTTGGCTACTTAATGTATAATAGTAAAAAACAACAACACTTTTACTGTAGCTAGTGTGTAGGCTACTAGCTTACAGCTTGAAAAAGAAGGATGAGCTGAGACACAAAAACAACACTTGAGTATTTTTTATCTTGAGGAAATTATTCCATATCCTTTTTTTATTTGGAAAGCAGCATGTTTATAACCAAATACGTTCACTGTGTCTGTTTTTGTCACATTAACGTCTTGATTTCACTCCGGTTGCAGTTACCATAGCAACAGAGTTTTTAAAAGACGTATTGAAAACTGAATGAAAACAGCGTTTACCCACTTTTATGGAAGCTGTGGTCGAAGCATTATGTAACACTCAGGATACAAAATTTACTTTAACTGAAATATGCATTTATAAATAATTAATTATCAAAAAAACAAGATGTAACAAATTAAGGTGTACTGGGCTAATGTAGGTTAGACTCTTGACGCTGGTGGAGAATTCATTAAACACATGACACAGAATGTTGATAACCGGTTGTGTATTTCAAAGTTCAACTTTTAACAAATAACTAAAAACACTTTAACTTAATCAAGGAAAATCCCACAATTTAAATAAAAGAAAATAGGCCTTCAATTAACAGATTCTTAAGGGCACCTTTTACCCTCCATACAACATATGCTAAATATTCCCAATTCTATACGTATAAATCAATGCACCAAACACGTGTGTCATGTGCGTGCAGATGTCCAACGAATTCACATGTTTATTTAGGTAGAGGAAATCCTACCACACATCCTACCACACCCATTAACCAGACAGCCAGGCCTGAGGCCTGCCTTTTGAGGGAATCTTGAGTCTTTCGAAGTTGCGCCTTTAGCTCGCCATCTTCTTTGCTCCGGCAGTATGACCTGACCAGTGTTCAGTCCTGACACATTCCTCCTCCTCCTCCTCCTCCTCCTCCTCCTCCTCCTCCGCAGCAGCAGCAGCAGCAGGCAGCAGGCAGCAGCTCCTCAAGGGCTTGAAGTCTCAGTGCACAGTGTTTTTCTTTCAGAAGCTCTCCTTGACTGTTTTAGGAATGACTGTCTCCTGCTGCCTTCTGACTGACTCCTTGATTGGTTTCAATCAGGTGATTAGTGCACCTGGGGAAAGGGGGTAGATGCCTGTTGGCTGCAGACTGCATCCAATTGGCTCAGGATTTGAATGACAGATTCTGTTGTCCAATGTCAGCAGTGTTACAATTATCTGTCAGTATTTAATCCACTTTGTAAATGTATTGAATGCCTAAACATATTTCATGTGAAATGACTATTTAGTGAAATAATGAGGACTGCACTAGTTTTAAAGAAGAGTTATCTATCTGAGGCTAACTGATATGTCTGTTAAGCTCTGCATGTTCGCCATTTTGAAAGAAAGACACTGCAGCTTAACAAATACATTGGCTGTCTTTTGTTTATCACACATTCATGTTTGTAAAGCTGCATATTTAAGTATAATTATTAGTCTGTTACAGCCATGTTTGTAAGGCAAAATGCTTTAATTTGAGGTGAACATAGCATGCGTTAAATGATATTAACACATCAACGTTTAGACCAGGAAAGATTGTCTGTCCAGTTTGAATACAAGCTTTAATTATTGATTTCTGAAGATGGCATGATAGTAATTTTTGTGACATTATGAGTGACATCTCTGCTGCAATTCCTTAGTTTCTGAAGCTGGAATTTTACATCTTAAAGTTTAAAAATTGAATGTCTTTGTATTTTACCTGATTGGTGAATATTGTTTTATTTGTTTTAAAGGTGCAGCAACATTACATCTGATGGTCTCCTTCATGACTCATTGATGACAACAGAGTTAAGGGAATTCCTTAAAGCACAGGTGAGTAGGTCAAAGGTCATTGATGTAAGGATTTTCAGGATTTTCCCCAATGACTTCAAACTAGAATAATCAGTTGATAAGTCAAATACATTCTGGGGAGATGTTCAACACAAGCTCTGCTGCATGAATGTACCATTTTTCATCAGTGACCAATATGAGCAATTAAGCAAAAAAAGCTTTTGGTAGGAATATGACCTAATAATCTGATTTGACCAGAGGCATTTCATAACACAACATTTACCTCCGGTGTTCTGAACACTGACAATAGGCGTCGAAGTTAAAGACTTTGTCCAGAATTAATCAATCACCAAAGCAACTGTCAACAGAATCTTATTTCAGTTGTTGTGTGATAAATCTATCCGTCCGTCCATCCATTATCTTCTGCTTATCCGGGGTTGGGTGGCGGTGGCGGCAGGCTAAGCAAGACGCCCCAGACGTCCCTCTACCCAGCAACGTTTTTCAGCTCCTCCTGGCTGTTCCCAAACCAAAAGGGATATAATCCCTCCAGCGAACTCTGGGTCTCCTCCCAATTGGTCGTGCTTGGAAGACCTCCTGAGGGAAGCGACCAGGAGGCATCCTAATCAGATGCCCGACCACCTCAGATGGCTTGTTTCGGTGCAAAGGAGCAGCGGCTCTACTCCAAACTCCTGTCTGAATTAAAAACCTCCATGAAGCATAAATCTAAAATGTACTCAAAATAAGTGGCTGGTCTGTGCCAGGACATGGGTCAAACTTTTCAACGTTAAATAAATCCTTCTCAAACATGGTTTCTGTCATTTTGATTAAAGGTATTAGCTTCAGCTTAGCTTTTGATGCACCATGCAATGAAAACGTTTGTTTCTGCTTCCAAATTTGGCTGTTAAAAAAGAAGCACATGAAAAAACTACAAATCCAACAAAGTGCTCTGTGAGTGGAAAGTATAGCAGCAACTAAAGGAACTTTGTGAATAAAAATGAATATCTGACACTTTGAGGCTGCTATAGTTTCACACATCAGTATGACGTCTACTTTATAGTAACTGAATAATACATTAAAAAACATTTCAAATCAAAACAAGTTTTTTCTGCATATTTTATGTCTGGACTTCTTTTTAGAGCTGAAAATACACTTCATACAGTAAAACCCTGATGTTTACAACAATTGAATACATTTTTTTCACTTTTGCTGGTCTTTCTTCTTGCCCTTACATGCTTTAAAGTTATACAGCACTCTAGTTCATACTCCAGATTTCCTGCATCTCTAAGCTAATGCGCACACATTATAAGATATTTTATTACCATAACTATGCAGAAAAAAATGACAAAAGTGGACAACAACTATTTATAAAAGAAGACAAAGGATTGACTGTCTGTCTACGTGGAAGACTTGCAGATAGTGCTGGATTTCCATAAGCCCATGCCCGAGTCAGGCGGGTAAAGGTTGATGAGATGACTATAAACTTTGTCGACTGGAAAGACCTGCTGGCCTGCAACACCAAACTTTCTGAAGCTATACATGTGCATAAGAAGATGGGTGGGTAGAACATGCCAGTGCAGATGGTGGGTGATCCTAGCTGCAGAGCTGTCCCACATGCAGGCCTACATCCGTTCTGCTCCCGCCAGATTAACAGAGCCTCACTGCTGCAGACTCGCATCGACAACAAGCCGGACTTCCAAAACCTTTTTCAAGAAAGTCTTCCCTGAGACTGTCCATCTCGGTCGTCAGTAAAACTTGATTCACTTGTTTGTACAACTTACAACCTTCATTTATCCCACAAAGGAGAAATTTACAAGTTTGGTGAATTCCCACACCTACAACAGGTAAGTACAAAAACTTTCTCAAATTTGATTGTTGTTAATGAAAGATTAAATCACAAAAACATGTAAACACATGAACATAAACCACTTTGTAAAAAATGTTTATAAGAGACATGTAATAACTTTGTTATTCAAGTAATTATTTACATTATAAACCCACAGGATAGGCAATTATCTTTGATATCTTTCATAGTTAAGTTATTATTCACAAGTGAATTACTGGATTCTGAGGCGTGTCTCACAGTGAGTCATGAATTCTCTCTCAATGCTGTGTTGCCCTTGTTTTTACAATTTACTTTCCTGAAATGATCTACACTCACATAAATTACGGTACTGATAAACTTGTAGATAATGTCACAGTACGTCCCCAGTCTAGGGGAACCAAGACACAACATGATAAGTGACACCCACTCTTCCCACTCCCAAGAAAACCAGCAGTCCAGGTCACTTCAGATTGAACACAGCAGTTTTATTCATTTTTAGGGCAGAGAATGGTCCGAAAACAAAAATCAAAAAGACTAACAACACCCTAGTCTTTCCTAACATGAAAAGAAAGTAAACAAAATGACAAATCTCTTGCCTATTCCACTAACATAAAAACAGGAGAAAAAGTAGTGAACAAAACAATAGGGATCTTCCTTCTCATCACTGCTGTGTGGTGCATACATATTTACAGTTTACACTTGTAGCAACAATACACTATTTGATTTAACACAAACAAACAATCCTCCAAGTACACAACAACTGAAAACAAGTTCTGGCCGACACAATACAAAAAGATTCTGTAAACCGGCTGGCTTTGGTGGCAGTGGCAAGAGAAGCCCAGACTGCAGCAGCGTAGTTTTAAAAGCTGGTTCGACCAATCCGGTTGCGGCAAATCTCCTTTCCTCCCTCCATTCAGCAGCAGCCTCTGCATCACCATCTGATCCATCTAAACACACACCCACTGACAGACACACTGCTGGGGAGGAGACAAGGCTGCACATTTCATTAAAAGATTATTAATACAGAAATATGACTCAGGGTCATGTCAATAAACAAATAGAAATCAGTTTGGGGAATGAGCCCCATCTCAGACAGACAATAACAAAAACTAAAACAACAAAAGTTCATCAGAAAATGTACCTCTAACATTCATAAAATATTAAGTCACTTAAAAATATATTTCACTTAGGTACAAAACAACTTGAGCCACGCAATTGGTTTGTAAAATCAAAATAATTCAGACATACTTAGAACTGCATTACAGGACTGGCATTTACCATTTGATTGTCATTTGTCTATTTATGTAGTCTGTGTCAGACTCCAACACAGTTCATCACCTGTTTTTCAAGTGGTTTGCAGTGCTTGTGCTTGTGCAGCACATGTTTGTACATTTACCACCCTAGTTTTCATACTGGATATCGTAAGCAATAGGTCCCTTGATTGCAAAACCAAGGTAGAAAGAAACCTTTTCTGTACTGAAACCCACTAACACGATGAACGAGAGCTGGGCGCACAGGGATTTTCAGTTTTCCATAATTGGCAAACACCTCCCCTGCTCGATGCTTCCTCTGACTCGCTGAAGACGGTTGATAATTGTTTTGTCTTTAAAAATATCGCCATTCCGCCAGAGTTGTGCCAAGGTTTCACGGCGCATCTTCTTGAAGTTCTCATCGAGTTGGGGTTTAGAAACAAGCCTCTTGAGTCCTTTTTCTTTTCCCAAGTAGAGATGGGCAACTGTGCTCCTTTTTTGAAACAATGGAGTCAGGTATTTGCGGGTTGAGTTCCGAATTGCTGTAACATAAGTTGCAATTTCAGTATCTTCCTCAGTTGTCCTTGGCCAGAACAACAGCAGAGCCAGGTAGTATGGGTCTGGGAAGGGATATCTAAGTCCTACATCTTGCAAAGTTGTTGAAAGTAGGTCTGAGAGGGAGTCGATACTCTTTACATGTTTAGAGTTTGGTTTCAAAAGGTAAAGAACTATGTTTGACAGAATGCAATTGATTGTTTCCTTTGTCTTTTGCTTTTTGTCGTTTAATTGGTGATGTTGTTTTTGCAAATATGCATAGCATTCTGTGATCCTCTCGATCTCCTCTGCAGGTTTGTCCAAATGCTGAAGAATCCCTGCAAATGTGTCTGCTTGGTTCTTCTCAAGAAACAATCTTCGTTCCTCAATATTGATTTTGAAGTTGAGATTAGGGTTGGTTTTGTTGTTCTTTTTTCATTTCCTTTGGTGTATTGCAGAAGAGACTAACATAGCGTTTAAAAAGATCACAGGCAATCGAATGATTTTTTGTTTGGAATTCTGAGTTGCGTCCCTTTATATATGTGAAGAAACAGTCAAGAAGTTCAAAAGTTTCTTTTACCTCAGTTTTCAAATTTTGAAGAAAACGTTCATGTTCTTTGATGATCTCCTCATAGATGTTATTTCTCTCATTGTCCTCCTTATACACACTGGTGATTGGGATTGCTTTTTTAAGGAAGCTCTGGAAGTATGTCTTCTTCATTGGATCTCTTTGATCAAAGAATGGCAATCTGCTCAATATCTCAAAGACCAGGAATGCAATTTCCAGCACACCAACGTAGCCCTTAACATTATATGACTTTCGTGGATAGTCATCCGACTCATCAACAGCCTCCTCCTCAGGTTCCTCCTCTGAGTTTGCCAGCTCTTGAGCCTTTTTGAATGCTGTGATAGCATTGCTTGCTATTTTAATGTTTGTGTTTAAGTCCTCTGGATTGCAAGAAGTCTCCTGTTTTCCCCTATCGTTGTTTGATCTTAAATTGCTTTTGTGAATCTGCCCTATTGTGTCAAACGTGTACGGGTTTGCTTTAATGTTCTTGGCCTTTTCAGCCCATTTCAGAGCTTCTGGGAAGTCATGCTCTTTGATGTACAAATACCTTGCCAGTGCCTGAGGAATAGATGCACTTTTCTCAAACCTGGATGATGCTTTCACAAAGATCTGTTGAACAGTTTGTCTCCCTTGCTCACTGTGAATTTTGTCGATCAGAGGAGAAAATGGTTCCCTGACAACACCATCCTTCTTTTGCTGCCTTGCAATCAACATTTGTTGAATTGAGTCCATGAATCTTTTTTTGACAACTGCAATGCTGAAGAACAGATCACAATGTAGAACCTCTATGGTGATATCACTCACTTTTAAAGAGTGGCTTCTCTCAAACTCCTCTAAGCATGCAGATGCTATGGAGCTGTGAAGGATTCGGATTCCTTCATATACTCCCCATTCTTCAACTCTGTCAATGATGAGAAGGTTTGAGAAAGGCTCCATTCTGTCCAGTGCACTTTCCTCTTGCCAGCGAATCCTTTTCATACCAAGAAAATCTTCACAGAGAGAGCGAGAGATTTCTGATTCTGTCACATAGGTGTTAAGTAATGCTAAGAAGGAAAAAAGTTTGGCATTCTTTGAGCTGAAATCAAAGTTCTCCAGAGTGTTATGAACAAGATCGTCAATGTATTTTTTGTCAAAATTGCTCTTCATGATCATGAAACTGTAAAAGTTTTCAGGTGTATCATGTGTTTCTCTCAGCTCATTGAGTTTCTTTTCAAACTCATTCTGTTCTTCTGGTGACAATGAGGCAGTTATGTACTGACTTGGGTTGTGCCGTCTGTATGAATCTTTTGGATTTTGGGAACGAACACAGTTAAGGATGATGACTTTACAACTTTGTGCCTTATCCACATTTATGTTAGAGTAAGACTCTACTGTTTGAGGGATGCAGTTACAAATTTCATAAGGATTCTCTGTTTCCTTTGAGTCATCAATTAACAGCAAAACTTGACATGGTTTCTCGTTTTCGAGCTTCATGAGTTTGACAACTTGGACAGCAACTTCTGTCATTGGCAGTGAATTGTCTTTCAGCACAGCACATCTAATCTCCTTACGGAGATCCCACATGACATGCATTGCTAAAGTGGTTCCACCACAGCCTGGATTGTGAAACAGATTGAGCAGAACACACATTTCTTTTGACTCTCTCAACTCACTCCTGATCATCCTTTTCAAATTTTCATACTTGTCTCTCTTGATAAATGGTCTCTGTTTGTCTTTGTCACAGAAGAAGAAGTTCCACCATTTGACTTTGCCTCCCCTGTAGAATTCCTCCTCAACTTTTGTTCTTTTGTCATTAAACTCTGGACTGTTATCTTCGTAGATATTTTCACACTGGTTCAGACACAAAATGTCCAAAGCTGTCAATAAGTCTTCATCCTTATTTTTTAGAACGACAAAGCTGGAGTCAGAGGAAGGAAGCAGCCTTTCAGATGACTCACTGAATGGTCTTAGAGCCAGTACTGTTCCATTGACCTCACTGAGGCTCAGCTCATATACTGATTGTGGGTCAATGTCAAAGTCCCCATTTTTCTTGTATCAGTTCCTTCCATTTCTCATATGTGCTCTGAGATTCACAAATATGAATGATCATTTCTTCTTCGGTTTTCTTCATGAAAGCCCTGTAGGTTTCAAAGATGGGGTCTTTTTCTGAGTCTACAGGTGAAAGAAGGAGGAACATGATGAGACTTCTTCCATGGAGAAGAACTTCAGGGTTGCAAATGAATGAAACCAGTTGCTCAACATCGCTGCAAGATTTCCTCACCCAGTTCCAATAGTTTAACTCCTTGTTTGAGTCACCTTCAAGGTCATGTCTCCCATTGCAAAAGACCCAGCTGGTCTGTTTGTAGAGGTTAAGGTTCTTTATGACTGAGTCAATCTGTCCTTGATACTGTGAGGGGGTGTGAAGATTGGCCCACCTTGACTCTCTGTAGGAATGGCACAGTCCAACCTGAGTATTGGAGTCTGGGTCAAAGTCTAACACACAGAAAAGTTTCAGTTTATTCAGAAACTTGAGATACTGCACTTGCTCTGGACTGCTCTTGTTTACAACAATAATCATGTTGTCGTAGTTGTCTAATGAGTTCCCACCACAAGTCAACAAGTTCTTCAGTTTGTCACCCTGGTTGGCTTCTTTCTTCTTATCTCTCGAAAGAAGATGCTGCTCCAGTCCACCTGTATTAGAAGTAAAATAAATGAGTAATTTAGTAAACAATGCAATGTGTATTTATTTTTTACTGTTGAATATTTTGAGCAACTAAATGCAAATTCATTATTTAAATTCATTTTTACATTGGTGGTCTTACCCAAGGTGTTTTCAAGCTGATTAGCAAGTTCACATTGATTGATTTCCCGTAGAACATCTACTGTGACTCTCACAGCCCCATTGCTCTCATAGTGGTCAGTCATTAATTGAGCAGTGTCCATGGTGTCCTTGCCCTCCAGTTTACTCTCACGAATAGGTTGAAACTGGGATGTTTTGTATTGTTTTAGGTTTGAAATGAAACTTTTTAAAGTCTTCTTTTTTAAGGTTATCCAGGGTTTCCTGGATCACCACAGTTATATTGGGAACTCCCGGAAGGACTGAGGTCTGCAGGAAGAACCAAAAGTACATATTTAGGGCCTGATATACTAAAATACCTGGTAAAGAAATAGCCTGTTCATTCAAACAAATTGCACATTTAAAAAAAACAGAAAAAACAGATTTGCACGTTTGGTTGGTGCGCTTTGCTGGTGATTAACTAAATAAAAAGTGTTTATGATAACAGTTGCACAGGTTGTGGAGGCAGTAGTATTGAAATTAGGCTTTTGTGAGTTTTACGTCATTGAGAGTTTGGACGTAAGCAGAGAGACGCAAGTGCAAGATTAAATTCAGTCCAATTTGATTAGAGGTACAGTATGTGGAAGAGGCACATAAACATATGTTAAAATTACAGAAAATCTCAATATAACAAAAATAAACGTGATATGGGAGAATAGAACTGAAAGAGTTAATGCCTTTGGTAAAACAAGAAGAACAGATGAAATTAAGAGAAGGGTGCATGATATAAAGTAAACATTAAAATTATCTAGATATTTATAGGAGTGCATATGTGAAAACGGCTTCAAAGTCAACCCCTGTAATGTGTAACTATGTGTAAAACAATGGAGACAATTTACCACCATGGTTTCTTTCCTTCTGGCTTTGAAGTTTTGTGGCTTTGGCTCATCACTCTTCTTCTCCTCTGAAGCTTTCTTGAATTGCTGTTGAGCCTTTCCAGACTTCTTTCCTAACATTTTGTCCGCTTGCACTTCAGTTGTGTTGAACGGTTCTGCTGGATCCGATGCTACCGTCTGAGCCACACTGACTTCCGGTTGAATGGGGTTTGGAGCTTCTTTTTGTTCATTATGAGGGATGGGTTGCAGAGTCGGCTCTTGGTCTTTGCTCAGTTGTCTGAGATTTGACAGAATCTTAACAGCAGGGCCACTTTTGACTTCCAGGTCCAGAAGATCTTGCTTCTTGAAACAAACAAGGCAATCTCCAGACACATCTTCTTCTTGGAGCCGTATAGCATATTTGCTGTAAGCATTCACATGCTGCAGTAACCACTGGTGCACTTGCTCCTTCGTCCAATTTTCCACATAAGCTGGGAACTGATCACGTTGTAAACCATCTCTTAGACTTTCAAGATAAGATATTATTTTGACAGCAGGACCATGTTTTATTCCCAAGTCCAATATATCTGTCTTTTTAAAGGCAACTAAAGAGTCTCCTGACACTTCTTCTTCAACAAACCTGTCTGCACATGTCTTGTGTACTTTGACCTCTGTCATCAGCCACCGATGGACGTCTTCCTCTGTCCATTTCTCAATTTCAGCAATTGGCTGAGTTCTTGAGCGCCTCATTTTTAATCATCTAAAAAATGAAACAGTTAAGTGATATATTTAGTGATATTATGTTATATTACCATATTCATCAATTATAAAAGAAATAAGATATATCAATAAAAATAAAATCAACCCAGCAACAGACTAAAGCAGGGGTTCTCCACTGGTATGGCTTCGGAACCTGCCACCACCCCTAAATGACCAGCTGCAACCCAAATTGGTGAACATTGTCAACGCTCATATTTATTTAATGAATAAATGGTGCACTTTGGATCTGTGACAGTACAAAACATCAAAGTATGCCAATCTATAAACAAACAATGGTTTAATTGTCAACCAAAATGACCAGCAGGTGGCAGCACTGAAGAGGAAAATATTCCTCATCAACTAAATTATCAGAATCGTCATATAATCGATTAGAAAATCCATATTTCATGTAGTCGATGTCGTACTTGCATTTTGCCATGACAAATTAGCAGCAGTGTAAAAACCAAAGACTGTACATTTTATTGCACGAAGCCTGAGTGGCGTCAGCCATCTGTTACGGCAGGGAGCTATGGAGTCCCAAGCTCAGAGCTGGAGCTGAGGCAGGTTTTAAAGCTTCTTGAAGAACCGTTACACCGTGCCGACCTGCCAATCATGTCAGCTATGCGCTTTACTATGTATAACAGGTATCATTAATAAAATCAAAACGGAGCCATTTAAAAAAAAAAATAACCCCTGTTCAGTGTGTGCCAGTGATGATTATAACTTTTGAAAATTTCTAAAAACTAGAGAATCAACTTTCATCACTAGAAGTACACTGGTTTACACAAGTCTTTGTTTTGATAGGGACTGCAGATGTCAACTAGCTCTAAGCTTAAAAAAAAACAACTAATCAGAACTATTATATACTATAAACATGTTAATCTCTGCTGTAAAAACAGGCTTTTTGAATGGGTGTGTATGTGACTTCCTGTGCTTCTGTGGCCAGCCTCTAGTGGACACTCCAGGAACTTTGCAGTATGCGGCTCCTCTTCTTTGCTGTGTAATTGCGGTCGTCAACTACAGTTAGTGTGCATTACCTCCACCTACTGGACTGAAGTGGGAATTAACTCATCTACTGCTGCAAAAGGCCCTTCATAATAAAAGCTCATGCATATTTAGACACTTTTGGGTCGGGACCCACTAGTTGAGAATCACTGGACTAAAGCATCTAAAGAAATAAAGTATTTTCTAGTTTCTTCGGATTAACAAGCTTTACAAAGAACAAATAATAGTTAAATGTGAATGCGCAATTTTTTGATCCAGTAGATGTCGCCTATGAGCACCAGCATTAAATCAATACAAACTGCTGTTTGGCCACGCCTCCTCCATACTGAAGCCTCTGCTCTCCTACAGTTACACATCTCCAACCCCTCTACACTCACGTTTGCTCAGAGGAGTTTAGTGGAAAGCAGAGGACAAAATTATCCTTTGCTTGAGCTGCTCCCGTCCATGTAAACACGGCCTGACAACAACACAGCCAGCGGGACTCGAGCTTCACACTCATTGTAGACAGTCATGACTCAGAGACACATTTACACAGGATGCACTTCATATCTGATATATTTATGTGTAACATGTCACACATTCTTCCTTTAATATTTAGCCAAAATTTTGTTGGTATCAAAGAATGAGCACCAACTTTTTTCTTAACGTTAAAAGACTGAAGTCAATTTTTTATTGAAAAATAATTGTATCCTCTGAGAATATTCTAACCCACAATTCCCAAAACTCAGTAAGTTCAGAAAGGTGCCGCGCTCTACGCCGCCATTCGTTGCCACTCTAGTCAATGCTCCTGTTTCCACAGAGGGCGTCGCGGCCCGTCTTCGGAGCGTGCCAGCAGCGCCGCTATGCTCTGCTCTGTTTCAAATATGCTGCAAGTCTATTTTTGACGGAGTACGCTGCCACCACACATCAAGCTGGACAGAATATAACAACCCAAACAGGAAGTCGGACGAAAAAACGCAGAGAGCGTCCGATCAATTTCAAAATAAAACACAATATACAGACTGACAATCATTCCATCACTTTATCAACATTACGTTAAAGCAGGAACCAAACGAACAACAAATCATCCTCAGAACGACAAAGCAACCTGTTGTTTGCACGTTTTTGTCTTCATTCCCGCGTGATCTTGTAATTCTCCTGTGATGCGAGTACAGCTGCTCAGGGCTGAGCTCTGCTGCAGTCACGTTCCATAAACAGATACGGTGGGGTAGGGCGTACGCCCTCTGACTGAGCAAAACCTTGGCGCTGACGGGCGAGTATATGGAAATGAGTTACAACTAGGTGGCACTGTGACATTTAATTTATCTGCAGATATGTTCAGCTATCAAACCGTTGACATTTGGAGCAGAGTGAACATTGTGTATGAGAGCTGATAAAGACTCTTACCTGAGAGAAGCACTATGGCCTTGACGAAAGAAAAATGGTGATAAGATCCGTTCAGGGTTCAACTTCCATGATTCTTCATGGCGAGTCATTGAAGTGTGCTGCGCCGCCAGGATGACATCCTTCACTGAAAACTTGAGGCCTGGTTCACTGATAGATTTCAGCTTCTGCTCCCGGTTAACCTGTGCAAATGAGTCAAAAAGACCATTTAATTAACAAAAGACATTGTCATGGAAAGAGAAAAAACTAAGAGAAGGACCCAGGTGCAGAACTAAAAAGATATTTAATTAAACAAAAAGGCAACGGTCCAAAAACAACGCTTACTTTCAAATGTCCAACAGAAAAAATCACAGGGACAACTGACAAACGACATATACTGAAATATGACAATGATCTGACACAGAAGGGAAGAAACACAGAGACTTAATAGACATGGGTAATCAAACACAGGTGAGACCAACAAGACAACTAAACATAGACAATACACACTAGAACGTTGAACACTGGGATACAAAATTCCCAAAATAAAAACACTATAAACTAAACTAGGAAACGAGAACTACTAAAACAGGAAAACTAAATCTCAACTCTGAAAATACAAAATATACAACTTAAATAAGACCAAATCATGACACACATCCATCCATCATCTTAAACCGGTTGTCTCATTTGGGGTCGCGAGGGGCTAGACGCGACCCCAGCTGTCATTGGGTGAGAGGTGGGGTTACACCCTGGACTGGTCGCTAGCCAATGAACCTCCTCACAGAGAGGCTCCCGACAGACTGGGATTCAAACCAGGAACCTCCACACAGAGAGACTCCCGTCAGACGGGGATTCAAACCAGGAACCTCCCCACAGAGAGACTCCCGTCAGACGGGGATTCAAACCAGGAACCTCCTCACAGAGAGACTCCCGTCAGACGGGGATTCAAACCAGGAACCTCCCCACAGAGAGACTCCCGTCAGACGGGGATTCAAACCAGGAACCTCCTCACAGAGAGACTCCCGACAGACGGGGATTCAAACCAGGAACCTCCTCGCTGCACATGATAACTGTTTGCGTGTCTTTAAATTAAGTCATTGAGGGGGAATTGGCCTATTTCTATGAAAATCACTCCCATAGCAAGAAGCATTTTATTCACAAACACTGCTACGCACAGTAGTAGATAAAGTCTGTAAATATTATTCTGACATTACTTTTATTAATATAACTCATTAATAAATAAATCAGTTTGGGGCTGTCAGCAATAGGGCTTTGTGAGTTTAGTCAACTAAATGGTTAAACTTTAACACCCTTACTAACCAAAACAATATTAATTATTAATATTTTAATGTTGGTAAAAAGTTATGCTGAAACTGCAATGCAGCCACTAGCTGGGGCTGTTGTTATGGACTGGCAGTAATAGCTTGTATATTTCTTTTCTAGTCTTCTGACTACTCAAAGCACTTTTACACCGCAGGTCACTCCTACACATTCACACACTGATGGTAGAGGCTGCTGAGTAAAGAGTCCATCAGTATTAACTCATCCATTCACACACTGATGGTAGAGGCTGCTGAGTAAAGAGTCCATCAGTATTAACTCATCCATTCACACACTGATGGTAGAGGCTGCTGAGTAAAGAGACCATCAGTATTAACTCATCCATTCATACACATTCACACACTGATGATAGAGGCCGCTGAGTGAAGAGTCCATCAGTATTAACTCATCCATTCACACACTGATGGTAGAGGCCGCTGAGTAAAGAGACCATCAGAAGTAACTAATCACATTCATACACATTCACACACTGATGATAGAGGCCGCTGAGTGAAGAGTCCATCAGTATTAACTCATCCATTCACACACTGATGGTAGAGGCTGCTGAGTAAAGAGTCCATCAGTATTAACTCATCCATTCACACACTGATGGTAGAGGCCGCTGAGTAAAGAGTCCATCAGTATTAACTCATCCATTCACACACTGATGGTAGAGGCTGCTGAATAAAGAGTCCATCAGTATTAACTCATCCATTCACACACTGATGGTAGAGGCCGCTGAGTAAAGAGTCCATCAGTATTAACTCATCCATTCACACACTGATGGTAGAGGCTGCTGAGTAAAGAGTCCATCAGTATTAACTCATCCATTCACACACTGATGGTAGAGGCTGCTGAGTAAAGAGACCATCAGAAGTAACTAATCACATTCATACACAGTCATACACGGTTGAAGAAGCAGGAGGTGTGGTGAGGTTAGGTGTGCAGGAGCTGGGGATTGCACCCCAGACCTTCTGGTTGAGAGGTGACCGACTCTATCAACTGAGCCACAGCCGCTGTAGCTCCCGCGAATGGGCCTACTCTCCTCGCTATACCACCCAGATATAAAACAGGAAACACTACATACGGGTCTCAGAAATAAAACTGTTCATGGGCAAGGGCAACACTTCAATCAAGAGATGACACAAAAGGCAGTAATAGCATAAGACAGGAAACACTGAAGACACAGAAAAGAGAGACACGAGGATACAAATGACAAAATAAAACGGACTCACATTTAAGCAACAAAAACAAGAAATAAACAAACTAAACAAAGGTAAATCACGACAATCTACTGATGTTATACGTAAGCTAAGTCAATTAAGACTGAATAATTTCAACTGTGTCCGCACTTACCTGCCGGATTCTGAAAAAAACCCTCTCAATATAAACATCAGGTGTCAACACCAGCTGTTTCAGGTCATTTAGAAAATATTTTCATCCAATCTTGAGCTCTGGCTCAATCATTTCTATTTCCTCATCTGCAAGTCGGCAATCCTGTTTTTCCTGCCTAGACTGGGTCTGACACTGTAGAGCTGATCTCATGATTAAACCCTTTTCATTACATTATGTTCTTCTGAACTTAAAGATAAACTCCCGCTCACTGTCTAGAACATCTGAATTGGCAATCTTTATTCACTTATATGTTTTAATCAGGAAGTGAATCTCTTACCTCTTAACTTCTTTGACGTCTCCTCGCACTGCTGGCCGTCTCTTCCAGAAAATAACAGGAAGGAAGCAGCCTTTCAGATGACTCACTGAATGGTCTTAGAGCCAGTACTGTTCCATTGACCTCACTGAGGCTCAGCTCATATACTGATTGTGGGTCAATGTCAAAGTCCCATTTTTCTTGTATCAGTTCCTTCCATTTCTCATATGTGCTCTGAGATTCACAAATATGAATGATCATTTCTTCTTTGATTTTCTTCATGAAAGCCCTGTAGGTTTCAAAGATGGGGTCTTTCTCTGAGTCTACAGGTGAAAGAAGAAGGAACATGATGAGACTTCTTCCATGGAGAAGAACTTCAGGGTTGCAAATGAATGAAACCAGTTGCTCAACATCGCTGCAAGATTTCCTCACCCAGTTCCAATAGTTTAACTCCTTGTTTGAGTCACCTTCAAGGTCATGTCTCCCATTGCAAAAGACCCAGCTGGTCTGTTTGTAGAGGTTAAGGTTCTTTATGACTGAGTCAATCTGTCCTTGATACTGTGAGGGGGTGTGAAGATTGGCCCACCTTGACTCTCTGTATGAATGGCACAGTCCAACCTGAGTATTGGAGTCTGGGTCAAAGTCTAACACACAGAAAAGTTTCAGTTTATTCAGAAACTTGAGATACTGCACTTGCTCTGGACTGCTCTTGTTTACAACAATAATCATGTTGTCGTAGTTGTCTAATGAGTTCCCACCACAAGTCAACAAGTTCTTCAGTTTTTCACCCTGGTTGGCTTCTTTCTTCTTATCTCTCGAAAGAAGATGCTGCTCCAGTCCACCTGTATTAGAAGTAAAATAAATGAGTAATGTACTGTTGAATATTTCGAGCAACTAAATGCAAATTCATTATTTAAATTCATTTTTACATTGGTGGTCTTACCCAAGGTGTTTTCAAGCTGATTAGCAAGTTCACATTGATTGATTTCCCGTAGAACATCTACTGTGACTCTCAAAGCCCCATTGCTCTCATAGTGGTCAGTCATTAATTGAGCAGTGTCCATGGTGTCCTTGCCCTCCAGTTTACTCTCACGAATAGGTTCAAACTGGGATGTTTTGTATTGTTTTAGGTTGAAATGAAACTTTTTAAAGTCTTCTTTTTTAAGGTTATCCAGGGTTTCCTGGATCACCACAGTTATATTGGGAACTCCCGGAAGGACTGAGGTCTGCAGGAAGAACCAAAAGTACATATTTAAGGCCTGATTTACTAAAATACCTGGTAAAGAAATAGCCTGTTCATTCAAACAAATTGCACATTTAAAAAAAACAGAAAAAACAGATTTGCACGTTTGGTTGGTGCGCTTTGCTGGTGATTAACTAAATAAAAAGTGTTTATGATAACAGTTGCACAGGTTGTGGAGGCAGTAGTATTGAAATTAGGCTTTTGTGAGTTTTACGTCATTGAGAGTTTGGACGTAAGCAGAGAGACGCAAGTGCAAGATTAAACTCAGTCCAAATGGATTAGAGGTACAGTATGTGGAAGAGGCACATAAACATATGTTAAAATTACAGAAAATCTCAATATAACAAAAATAAACGTGATATGGGAAAATAGAACTGAAAGAGTTAATGCTGTTGGTAAAACATGTGTAAATATGTGTAAAACAATGGAGACAATTTACCACCATGGTTTCTTTCCTTCTGGCTTTGAAGTTTTGTGGCTTTGGCTCATCACTCTTCTTCTCCCCTGAAGCTTTCTTGAATTGCTGTTGAGCCTTTCCAGACTTCTTTCCTAACATTTTGTCCGCTTGCACTTCAGTTGTGTTGAACGGTTCTGCTGGATCCGATGCTACCGTCTGAGCCACACTGACTTCCGGTTGAATGGGGTTTGGAGCTTCTTTTTGTTCATTATGAGGGATGGGTTGCAGAGTCGGCTCTTGGTCTTTGCTCAGTTGTCTGAGATTTGACAGAATCTTAACAGCAGGGCCACTTTTGACTTCCAGGTCCAGAAGATCTTGCTTCTTGAAACAAACAAGGCAATCTCCAGACACATCTTCTTCTTGGAGCCGTATAGCATATTTGCTGTAAACATTCACATGCTGCAGTAACCACTGGTGCACTTGCTCCTTCGTCCAATTTTCCACATAAGCTGGGAACTGATCACGTTGTAAACCATCTCTTAGACTTTCAAGATAAGATATTATTTTGACAGCAGGACCATGTTTTATTCCCAAGTCCAATATATCTGTCTTTTTAAAGGCAACTAAAGAGTCTCCTGACACTTCTTCTTCAACAAACCTGTCTGCACATGTCTTGTGTACTTTGACCTCTGTCATCAGCCACCGATGGACGTCTTCCTCTGTCCATTTCTCAATTTCAGCAATTGGCTGAGTTCTTGAGCGCCTCATTTTTAATCATCTGAAAAGATTAAACAGTTAAGTGATATATTTAGTGATATTATGTTATATTACCATATTCATCAAATATAAAAGAAATAAGATATATCAATAAAAATAAAATCAACCCAGCAACAGACTAAAGCAGGGGTTCTCCACTGGTATGGCTTTGGAACCTGCCACCACCCCTAAATGACCAGCTGCAACCCAAATTGGTGAACATTGTCAACGCTCATATTTATTAAATGAATAAATGGTGCACTTTGGATCTGTGACAGTACAAAACATCAAAGTATGCCAATCTATAAACAAACAATGGTTTAATTGTCAACCAAAATGACCAGCAGGTGGCAGCACTGAAGAGGAAAATATTCCTCATCAACTAAATTATCAGAATCGTCATATAATCGATTAGAAAATCCATATTTCATGTAGTCGATGTCGTACTTGCATTTTGCCATGACAAATTAGCAGCAGTGTAAAAACCAAAGACTGTACATTTTATTGCACGAAGCCTGAGTGGCGTCAGCCATCTGTTACGGCAGGGAGCTATGGAGTCCCAAGCTCAGAGCTGGAGCTGAGGCAGGTTTTAAAGCTTCTTGAAGAACCGTTACACCGTGCCGACCTGCCAATCATGTCAGCTATGCGCTTTACTATGTATAACAGGTATCATTAATAAAATCAAAACTGAGCCATTTAAAAAAAAAAAAAAATAACCCCTGTTCAGTGTGTGCCAGTGATGATTATAACTTTTGAAAATTTCTAAAAACTAGAGAATCAACTTTCATCATTAGAAGTACACTGGTTTACACAAGTCTTTGTTTTGATAGGGACTGCAGATGTCAACTAGCTCTAAGCTTAAAAAAAAACAACTAATCAGAACTATTATATACTATAAACATGTTAATCTCTGCTGTAAAAACAGGCTTTTTGAATGGGTGTGTATGTGACTTCCTGTGCTTCTGTGGCCAGCCTCTAGTGGACACTCCAGGAACTTTGCAGTATGCGGCTCCTCTTCTTTGCTGTGTAATTGCGGTCGTCAACTACAGTTAGTGTGCATTACCTCCACCTACTGGACTGAAGTGGGAATTAACTCATCTACTGCTGCAAAAGGCCCTTCATAATAAAAGCTCATGCATATTTAGACACTTTTGGGTCGGGACCCACTAGTTGAGAATCACTGGACTAAAGCATCTAAAGAAATAAAGTATTTTCTAGTTTCTTCGGATTAACAAGCTTTACGAATAACAAATAATAGTTAAATGTGAATGCGCAATTTTTTGATCCAGTAGATGTCGCCTATGAGCACCAGCATTAAATCAATACAAACTGCTGTTTGGCCACGCCTCCTCCATACTGAAGCCTCTGCTCTCCTACAGTTACACATCTCCAACCCCTCTACACTCACGTTTGCTCAGAGGAGTTTAGTGGAAAGCAGAGGACAAAATTATCCTTTGCTTGAGCTGCTCCCGTCCATGTAAACACGGTCTGACAACAACACAGCCAGCGGGACTCGAGCTTCACACTCATTGTAGACAGTCATGACTCAGAGACACATTTACACAGGATGCACTTCATATCTGATATATTTATGTGTAACATGTCACACATTCTTCCTTTAATATTTAGCCAAAATTTTGTTGGTATCAAAGAATGAGCACCAACTTTTTTCTTAACGTTAAAAGACTGAAGTCAATTTTTTATTGAAAAATAATTGTATCCTCTTGAGAATATTCTAACCCACAATTCCCAAAACTCAGTAAATTCAAAAGGTGCCGCGCTCTACGCCGCCATTCGTTGCCACTCTAGTCAATGCGCCTGTTTCCACAGAGGGCGTGCGGCCCGTCTTCGGAGCGTGCCAGCAGCGCCGCTATGCTCTGCTCTGTTTCAAATATGCTGCAAGTCTATTTTTGACGGAGTACGCTGCCACCACACATCAAGCTGGACAGAATATAACAACCCAAACGGAAGTCGGACGAAAAAACGCAGAGAGCGTCCGATCAATTTCAAAATAAAACACAATATACAGACTGACAATCATTCCATACTTTATCAACATTACGTTAAAGCAGAACCACGAACAACAAATCATCCTCAGAACGACAAAGCAACCTGTTGTTTGCGTGATCTCTTGTAATTCTCCTGTGCTGCGAGTACAGCTGCTCAGGGCTGAGCTCTGCTGCAGTCACGTTCCATAAACAGATACGGTGGGGTAGGGCGTACGCCCTCTGACTGAGCAAAACCTTGGTGCTGACGGGCGAGTATATGGAAATGAGTTACAACTAGGTGGCACTGTGACATTTAATTTATCTGCAGATATGTTCAGCTATCAAACCGTTGACATTTGGAGCAGAGTGAACATTGTGTATGAGAGCTGATAAAGACTTTACCTGAGAGAAGCACTATGGCCTTGACGAAAGAAAAATGGTGAAAAATGGTAAGATCCGTTCAGGGTTCAACTTCCATGATTCTTCATGGCGACGCATTGAAGTGTGCTGCGCCGCCAGGATGACATCCTTCACTGAAAACTTGAGGCCTGGTTCACTGATAGATTTCAGCTTCTGCCCGGTTAACCTGTGCAAATGAGTCAAAAAGACCATTTAATTAACAAAAGACATTGTCATGGAAAGAGAAAAAACTAAGAGAAGGACCCAGGTGCAGAACTAAAAGATATTTAATTAAACAAAAAGGCAACGGTCCAAAAACAACGCTTACTTTCAAATGTCCAACAGAAAAAATCACAGGGACAACTGACAAACGACATATACTGAAATATGACAATGATCTGACACAGAAGGGAAGAAACACAGAGACTTAATAGACATGGGTAATCAAACACAGGTGAGACAACAAGACAACTAAACATAGACAATACACACTAGAACGTTGAACACTGGGATACAAAATTCCAAATAAAAACACTAGGAAACGAGAACTACGAAACAGGAAAATAATCTCAACTCTGAAAATACAAAATATACAACTTAAATAAGACCAAATCATGACACACATCCATCCATCATCTTAAACCGGTTGTCTCATTTGGGGTCGCGAGGGCTAGACGCGACCCAGCTGTCATTGGGTGAGAGTGGGGTTACACCCTGGACTGGTCGCCAGCCAATGAACTCCTCACAGAGAGGCTCCCGTCAGACGGGGATTCAAACCAGGAACCTCCTCACAGAGAGACTCCCGTCAGACGGGGATTCAAACCAGGAACCTCCTCACAGAGAGGCTCCCGTCAGACGGGGATTCAAACCAGGAACCTCCTCACAGAGAGACTCCTGAAGGACGGGGATTCAAACCAGGAACCTCCTCACAGAGAGACTCCCGTCAGACGGGGATTCAAACCAGGAACCTCCTCACAGAGAGGCTCCCGTCAGACTGGGATTCAAACCAGGAACCTCCTCACAGAGGCTCCCGTCAGACTGGGATTCAAACCAGGAACCTCCTCACAGAGAGGCTCCCGTCAGACGGGATTCAAACCAGGAACCTCTCGCTGCACATGATAACTGTTTGCGTGTCTTTAAATTAAGTCATTGAGGGGGAATTGGCCTATTTCTATGAAAATCACTCCCATAGCAAGAAGCATTTTATTCACAAACACTGCTACGCACAGTAGTAGATAAAGTCTGTAAATATTATTCTGACATTACTTTTATTAATATAACTCATTAATAAATAAATCAGTTTGGGGCTGTCAGCAATAGGGCTTTGTGAGTTTAGTCAACTAAATGGTTAAACTTTAACACCCTTACTAACCAAAAACAATATTAATTATTAATATTTTAATGTTGGTAAAAAGTTATGCTGAAACTGCAATGCAGCCACTAGCTGGGGCTGTTGTTATGGACTGCAGTAATAGCTTGTATATTTCTTTTCTAGTCTTCTGAAGACTCAAAGCACTTTTACACCGCAGGTCACACCTACACATTCACACACTGATGGTAGAGGCCGCTGAGTAAAGAGTCCGTCAGTATTAACTCATCCATTCACACACTGATGGTAGAGGCCGCTGAGTAAAGAGTCCATCAGTATTAACTCATCCATTCACACACTGATGGTAGAGGCCGCTGAGTAAAGAGTCCATCAGTATTAACTCATCCATTCACACACTGATGGTAGAGGCCGCTGAGTAAAGAGTCCATCAGTATTAACTCATCCATTCACACACTGATGGTAGAGGCCGCTGAGTAAAGAGTCCATCAGTATTAACTCATCCATTCACACACTGATGGTAGAGGCCGCTGAGTAAAGAGTCCATCAGTATTAACTCATCCATTCACACACTGATGGTAGAGGCCGCTGAGTAAAGAGTCCATCAGTATTAACTCATCCATTCACACACTGATGGTAGAGGCCGCTGAGTAAAGAGTCCATCAGTATTAACTCATCCATTCACACACTGATGGTAGAGGCTGCTGAGTAAAGAGTCCATCAGTATTTACTCATCCATTCACACACTGATGGTAGAGGCTGCTGAGTAAAGAGACCATCAGAAGTAACTAATCACATTCATACACAGTCATACACGGCTGAAGAAGCAGGAGGTGTGGTGAGGTTAGGTGTGCAGGAGCTGGGGATTGCACCCCAGACCTTCTGGTTGAGAGGTGACCGACTCTATCAACTGAGCCACAGCCGCTGTAGCTCCCGCGAATGGGCCTACTCTCCTCGCTATACCACCCAGATATAAAACAGGAAACACTACATACGGGTCTCAGAAATAAAACTGTTCATGGGCAAGGGCAACACTTCAATCAAGAGATGACACAAAAGGCAGTAATAGCATAAGACAGGAAACACTGAAGACACGGAAAAGAGAGACACGAGGATACAAATGACAAAATAAAACGGACTCACATTTAAGCAACAAAAACAAGAAATAAACAAACTAAACAAAGGTAAATCACGACAATCTACTGATGTTATACGTAAGCTAAGTCAATTAAGACTGAATAATTTCAACTGTGTCCGCACTTACCTGCCGGATTCTGAAAAAAACCCTCTCAATATAAACATCAGGTGTCAACACCAGCTGTTTCAGGTCATTTAGAAAATATGTTCATCCAATCTTGAGCTCTGGCTCAATCATTTCTATTTCCTCATCTGCAAGTCGGCAATCCTGTTTTTCCTGCCTAGACTGGGTCTGACACTGTAGAGCTGATCTCATGATTAAACCCTTTTCATTACATTATGTTCTTCTGTACTTAAAGATAAACTCCCGCTCACTGTCTAACTTGCAAACAAACATTTATTGGCAACGTTTTGGTGCTTAACCTTCATCAGGCAAACAGTTGCTGTCACTGTGTAAGTGCAAAATAGGGATCGAAATCTTTAGGGCGCGGTCCTAGAGTTAAATAATATGGACTACTAAGACTACGACAAATAACAGTTTTATGATGAATGATTGTCTGACAAATAAACAAAGTTACAGGTTTATTCCAAAGATATCTCCTGCAACACAAAGAACATCTGAATTGGCAATCTTTATTCACTTATATGTTTTAATCAGGTGAATCTCTTACCTCTTAACTTCTTTGACGTCTCCTCGCACTGCTGGCCGTCTCTTCCAGAAAATAACAGGAAGAATATTCTAAATAAAAATGAACTAAGTTTTAACTCACAAGGGAATATACTGAGATGAATAATGCACTATGCAGTGAAAATGATACCTTCTATGTTGTCTTCACCGGAGCGTTCCCTGACACCGTGAGAGCTGTAAAGAACAGTCACACCCATAGAGACAGAGTTCAACTCTAAATTCACACCCCACAATAAAACCAAGTTAGAAACATCTATGTCTTTTAGGAAAGCTCCCGGTGTACTGTTCTCAATAAGACAGAGGCAATAAAACCCAGGTGAATTTTTTCGTCCTATTTTTATCCTGGGTGCAGTCTTAGCTCATTCTTTCTCTACTGCCTGGACTTGCCTGTTTGAAAAAGAGCAGGGTGGAGCTGCTCCACAAACAAATTAGTATGCCAGTCAAAGAACTGTGTACAACAATCCTTTGCTTAGGTAGATGTAGTGATACCACAGTACAAACCTGCTGCTTAGATGCTGTAGGAGCACAATAGTAATATAATGTGGTGTTTGTGTATAGCATCTCACAGGGCAACGTTTGGGTACTAGACCTTCATCAGGACAAAAGGGCAGGACATCTTAAAGAGCCCATATTCTGCCCTTTTAGGGGTTTGTATATTTAATCTATGTTCCTACTTTTGTACGTTCACAATAGATAAAGTTTTTAAAAAGTGTCTGTTTTTATGTACTGCTCCTCCTTGCTCCCTCTACGCTCTGAGTCCGTCAGCTACACTCTGTTGAGCCCACACTGTTAGACCCCACGTGGGCCAAGTCTGCTCTGATTGGTCTGCCGATCTGCTCTGTCGTTATTGGTCAGTTGCTCAGCACGCTTCTGGGAAATTTCAACTTGAGCTGCAGGGCTGCAATGAGCCAATGGGCTTAGATCAGTGATCTCACACTGACAAGACGTCACACTGACACATTTCAAAATCTTCGAACCTGACCTTAATCCAAACCTATGCTTTCTAAACACCAGTTTGACATACGATCTTAACTTTGTATCACAGCACTTAAACAGAGAAACACACTGAATAAAAGTTACATTTGAAGCATTTATAAAAGTCTTTATTATTGTTCTATAATTACTGAAGGACAGAAAAACAAACAAAACTTCTCTTCACTGAAACATTTGATTACGTATTTTTTTAATCGTCATTAAAATGAAAGTTTAAGTCATTTTAAATTATTTCGGTAGCGTTCTCCGGGACTCATAAACCACAGCGGTACATTCTGAGTTAAAATACGTCACAGTTTGAAATCACAGGCCACCAGAAGCTGTTTAATCTGTACATTTAATTCTTCATATACATCATCCAGTAGTCAGTATGAACATGAATATGTAAACGCATAAATAAAAACATGGTAGGTTTCGCAGTGATACTGGCTGAAGTCACATTTTCAAGATACAGATGCCCGTCTTTGTCGTCTCTTGTATCAGACTGGATTTTAAACCAGAGCCCTGAGTCTTCGTGCTGCATTCACTTACTCCCTGGAAATGATCATACTACATTTTTCACAGTCAAAGCGACGGAGCTGACTCGTTTAAACCAATAAGGGATGCAGTGATTGTTATTTCCTGCTCTTCATTCTGTTCAGGTTTATTACAGAAAAGATCAACCTTCATCTTAACTCAGGAGTTTGTCTGAACAGACCTGGTCGATGACTTTAATTAAAATCAAACATACTCCAACAGAAAATAAGCTGAACAGTATTTTTCTATAAGCTCTGGGCCTGTATTTACAAACCAGGAAACACAAAGAATATATATTGTTTTAAAGCTGCTTGATTATAACTAAGATCGTAATCATGAATGTATTTTGGGATAAAAAAAGTTTTACTCCCAGTAACGTGTGC